CCCCCCCCCCCCCTCCCCCATTCCTGCAACAGGTATTACTCACAACACTAGTGATGCAGGTAATGACACCCTCACAGTCATTTACAGGAAAATGGAGAAGATGGAGAACGAGAACAAAATGCTCTGTAGCCAAATGAAAGAGCACCAAAAAAGGGTAGACAAAATACAGGGTGCCCCAAAATTTCTGCCGAAAAGGGACGCCGATCGATTTGTTGAGCAACCATATAGCGACGAGGCTGCACCACACGCCATACCAAAGACCTTCAAAATGTCGTCGTACTTAAAATATATGACGGCAAGACGGACCTGGAGGATCATGTGACCCACTATGTCATTGCAGTAAAAGGCAATGACCTCGCCAAAGAACAAGTATCATTCATATTGCTAAAGAAGTTTGGAGAAATCCTAACTGGGGGAGCCCTGACTTGGTACTCACAGTTATCTGCGCGTTCCATAGAAACATTCGAGGAAATGGCAAACAAGTTCGTCACCGCCCATGCCGGAGCCAAGAAAGCAGAGGCGAGGGTAAACAACATATTCGCCATTAAGCAATCGCCTGGCTAAGGACTCAGGGACTTCCTTGCTAGGTTCAACCATTTAAGAATGACCCTTCCAAATGTATTTTAGGGGATGGTGGTAGCCGCTTTCCAGAATGGGCTAAGCAGAAGCGGGTCGAGGGCGACCAAAAAGTTGCTAAGCCGACTCATGAAATACCCTCCAACTACTTGAGACGAGATACACGCCTATTGTGCCGAGTTAAGAGCCGACGAAGACGATCTCAACGGACCTACCCAACGTTTGACCTCGGTCCAAATGGAGCCTAGGAAAGACCAGAGAAACGACAACATGAGAGATCTAGCGGGATCCCAACCTAATTGAGAGAGACATCAGCCTTACGTCAGAGGCACCCTCATGCCACCTCCACACCACGATGAAGGTCCATCTAAGCCGCGAACGAGAATCCACTGAAATGACAAAGGTAAGCCCCATTTATTATCTGCTCACAATTTTTATATTTCCCCTTAAGAAATAGTCTACGCACTGGATAAGCTTGGCCCTAAAGTGAAGTAGCCACAAAAGATGAGATCTGACCCTAGCACCAGAAAGTCAAATGTTCTCTACGAATTCCACCAGGAGCGGGGCCATAAAATGAAGAACTATATCGCCCTAAGATAGGAGGCTGTGAACATGCTTCACCAAGGGCACTTGAAAGAACTGATGAGCGATTGTGGAATAGCCAACTTCGTCCAAGGGCAGGAACAACCACCGCTCCCAGCTAGGACCATTCAAATGATCATCGGAGGAGGCGACGCCGTGTCTATCAACAACGTGAAGTTCACTACCACCCACAAACTCAAACGGTCTATCACCCACGAACGGTATGATGAACTCGAAGAAAGTATCATCTTCGATAAGTCAGATACCCATGGTTTGGTACTTCCTCACTATGACGCTCTTATCATTACTTTACGCGTCTTTGCTACTGATGTAAAATGTATTATGGTCGATGACTGGAGAGGTGTGTGTACCATCCACCCTCGAGTTCTTACCCAAATGAAGCTCGAGGATAAGATCGTGCTGCATTGCATCACGCTAACAAGTTTTAACAATGCATTTGAGCAGACATCTGGAGAAATCACGCTGCCCGTCCTGGCCGGCGGCATTACTTTGGAGACCACGTTCCACATCATAGACCAGGATATGACGTACAATGCCATCTAGGCCGACCTTGGATACACGCCATGAAAGTCGTCCCCTCCAGCTTATATCATGTCTTTAAATTTCCCACCCCATGGGGAGTATTCAGCACCCGAGGAGAGCAACGCATGGCTCGAGAATGCTAACGCATCGCCCAAGACTGCATATACACCTAACAACTAAAAGGAAAACCTGAGTAGGCATAGCAATTAACGAAGTCAGGGTCAGGTGCCAATAAGGGGGAAGACGTCGTCAGAGACCCCAAAATCATAGAAGCCACAGGGTCAACCGTAGATGACCTCGACCCCGTCCAACTAGACGATAACGACCACAGCAAGAAAGCTTTCTCGGCCATAAGCTCCAAGATCCAAGTAATTTTTGCCAATTCATAAAAAGTTACGTAGACCTGTTTGCTTTTTCCCATGCAAACATGCCAGGTATCTCGAAGGAGATAGCAACTCACAAGTTGAACGTTGACCCGTTTTACCCCTCAGTAAGGCAAATTAGACGAAAATTCAACTCCGTAATAAATGACGCGGTCCGCGAAGAGGTTGAAAAATTGTTAGAAAATGGTTCTATCAGAGAATCAAAGTACCCTCAGTGGGTCGCCAACATGGTCATGGTGAAAAAGAAGAACGAGAAGTGGCGGATGTGTGTAGACTTCACAGATCTGAACAAAGCCTACCCAAAAGACTTATTCCCACTGCCCCATATTGACCAACTCATCGACACTACAGCCGGACACGAACTGCTAAGCTTTTTGGATAACTACTCGAGCTATAATCAAATCCTCATGGAGGAGGAAGACCAGGAAAAAAT